GATTTCCCACAGCTTAATTGAACTGAATTCTTTGTTCCTTTCGTACGGCAGAAAGCTCAGTGCTATGGGACATGGAGATGAGATAACTGGCTCCTGCTCTGAAGGGGAATTCAAGTTATCGTGTCACAACATCCCACACCGCCGACGTTCCCGCTGGAACCGAAGCCTCAGGCGGCTCTGGGAGCAGCAGGGAGCCGGGGCCAGAACGAGGTGGGCAATAGGCAGGGTTACTTCCTAGCTAGCAGTGGCTTGCTGCAGGCCTCCATCGGGGCCTCCTCTTGCCCTGCTGCTGGGTCAGTGTGTGCCTAGCTCTCGCCCTCCTCCTGGGGCATTGCCTCCCTCTGTCACCGCTGCCTCCCTCCCTTCCCACAGCCAGCATCTGCTCCACCCCCCACCTCTGACCACGCGGCGTGTCCAGTTTTCCAGTGAGGAGCAGGAGGATCACTAGGAGGAGCTCGCTCTAACAAGTCCTTGGGGCAGGGCGGATCTGACAGGCTGGTGCTGGCCTGGCCCTGGAACCAAGTGGCAGCGATGGCCAGGGATCACAGCCTGAGCTGGTATAAATCGGTGCAGCTCCACTGAATTCAGGGGCAATTTAAATCTGGCCCAGAAAGCGTGGAGCAGGCATGGCCACCTGGAAAGCTGCGCCGAGACCACTGCACGCATCACTGAGCAAACAGGAAGGGGACTTTCAAAATTCCCAAGGACTTTAAGGGGTGGGGCTCACGGTTGGTCATCCGAGGGCAGGGCAGTATAGTTCAAACGATGACCAGAGAGGCGAGAACAGGCATTGTGGGACACCTCCCGGAGGCCAATCGCAGCACTGTAATCGACCAGGGTGTCTACACTGGCACCGCGGCCCTGTAGCCCCGGCGCAGAAAGCTCTACGCCTCTCGTCGGGGTGGTTTTTTTACAGTGCTGCAACTGTGCAGTTTCTGCGCACTAAGTGGCTTGGCAGTGTGTACGCCTCGGGAGTTACAGCGCAGAAACCTGCCAGTGTGGACAAGGCTTTATTCCCAGGGCTCAGACGTGTTTCTGAAGGACAAGCCTGTAAAATGGGCCAGAACGCACCACATAGCAGGTATTTTCCAAACCTCTCCCCAGGGCAGGAGACCCCCCAGCTTTCCCCTCCCCTCCCCAAATCACACAAGCGGAGCAGTGTGCTCTGGGGGGGCTTTCAGTGGCGAAGTCTCTGTGTCTCTAGACAAGTCCATTGACAGACCGTCATTTGCCAAACAGGGTGCCTCCATCTCAGGGCTGTGAGAAAACCATAGCTTGGCCAGACTTTCCTCCCTGTCCCCCGTGGAGAGCACGTGCCCCCCTGGACAAAAGAGGGGGCTGTCAGGGCTGGTGGGAGAGATATTTGTAGTAGCCCCATGTTAGGATATCAGCAGCACATCACTGCGTAGCTCAGAAGCGTGTCTCTCTCACCAACGGAAGCCGGTCCAATAAAAGCTATCACCTCCCCCACCTTGTCTCTCTAATACCCGGGACAGACCCAGCTACAACTACACCGCAGACAGAGATAGAACAGTCACATCATCTGGTTGGCTGATGGGGTAACTGGCCTATGGTACATGTGGCATGTAGTGGACATGAAATGATGCAAAACTAACCACAAACGTCAAAAGAGGCTTTAAAAACAAGCTGGACTGTTATTTGTCTCCTACCAGTGATAATTACCTCAGTGCCTGAAACGGCTTGGAGTGACTGGCCATTGGCAAACTCACAGCCTGCCAAAAACCCAGGAACATGTGGGGCAGCTGGATCATTCTTCACTAAAGAGATCACAGCTGTGTGTGGGGCAAGTTAATTCTGTGTCTGATGCGTCCCAGCACATCACAACTGGTGTGAAGCTTCGCCAGCTTGGGATTATGAATGGAGGGAGACCCAGTTTGAGCAATTTCATGCAGCCCTTTGGAGAAGATGGGGCTGAATTCCTGAGTAAAGTCCATCCGACACAGGGTTCCATTGGAAAAGATACATGGGATCATTTCTCCCTCACGTTTTACATATAAAATGGCTGAGGTAAGAAAGTGAGAAAACTCTCGGCGAATGACTAATTCTGCAGTGGGTACATGAGCATTCCCCAGGGTCAGCAGCCTGGCTTTGCCCAGGCAAAGGCCCCCACTTGGCTTTGGAGTGCTTTGCACAGACAGGGCACGTCGCTGCATCCAAACAAACCTTTTGGCCAGGTCAGCCAGTGTTTAGATTTTCCTTGCCAGCAGAGTGCACGGCTCTTCCAGAGACTGAAATCTATGGGGGGGGGGGGGGGAGCAGGCTCTGGGGGGGGAGAAATCTGTGATGAACGTCACTCTATGACCAACTAGGAGAAATTAAAATTCCGCAGACTCCTTTGCAGAGAACAATAGGTCACCTGGCTACGCTCAGGGTCGCACCTTCATCCTTGCAAGCTCCTGCGTCTCCGAAGGTCCTTTGCTGGTCTGGCTCTCCTTATGGCTCATCACACAGCAGTCAACCTAGTATAACCGGCCATCCTGTCTTCAGGTTAACAAGGGGTGTGTGTGTCTGTATTCCTGCCAATCACACTACCCGCAAGAGAGACCAACACCACGCCTGCCAAGCCCTCCTCCCAAAAGAGAGCCCAGCACCTCAGGCACCTGAGCGCAGGAGGACCAGGGAACACAGCAGACAGCACGGTTCCTTGGCCTCTCAATGTCTCTGCTAATCGAGTGCTGCTCTGGACGGGTCAAAGGGGAGCTGCTGTCGGTGGGATGCAGGGTCTGGGATTGCAGGGGAGATCCAAGGAACACACCATGCTGGGGGAGGCCCTCCAACCGCCTCCTCATTTGGTGGCAGAGGGTCATGACTGATTGGCACCTGGAAGCCGAAGTCCCTCTCCTCTCCCCTGGCTCCAGGGCAAACGGGTGGGGAGGAAGGGAGTGCAGCTGTATCTGGGGATGAACAGAGACAGCTCGTCTCCCAAGCTGTCAGCCCAGGGCTGTGAAATCTCCCGCCAGGGCCAGCCTGAACAGAGATGAGCTGAGACGCACTAA